AAAAATGTTGGATGGTCATACAGAGAAATGACACGTCAAGAGGCAGGACGGGGTATTGGGGGATTTAAAATATATGAACTGATTGATCTTATTTAACTCGAGGAAGGTAGCATTGTTTTACCATTTTTTTTTTTTTAAGAGGAAGAAACTAAAAACTCAGAGAACCCTCAAGTCACTAGAGTATTATTGTGCCAGGCAAGGATTTAAGCCCCTTCCACCCAACCACTAACTCCTGGAGACTCACACTTCACCCCAGACCTCGAGATATCTGGTTGCTTAATATTGCCAACTTACCTGGATGCTTGTGTCCTTATTTTTCAAACAAGAGAATTAAATCAGTTGATCTCTAAGCTTTCTTCTACCTCTGGTTAGAATCCTAGCTTTCTTGGATTGTCTTAAGTGGGACGTTGTCTTGGATGGAATGATCCCACTGGGACCTCTCAGCAGGGCATGGCATCACTAAACTGAAAATATGATTTTTTTAGTCTTGCTTTTGTAGCCGAGATTTACTTTTCATGGTCCCAGGCTGCACCCTAGAATCACGGCCTTGTCTCTGTCAAGTTCCAGAGCTCTCAGAAGTAATGTGAGATAGTCAAGATTAGACTTCCTGTTTGATTGCAAGTTTCTGCAAGAACTTCCTCCTATCCCTTGCTTTTATGACTGATGCTACCTCACAGTGGCTCCCTTCATCTTCCAGGCCTCCCTAGACTGGGTTTCAGGTGTCTCCTCACTGCTCACCTCCATCTTGGCTCATATCCCCGCACTTTGTAATCTCTTCTCCCCTCCATCGAGAGCTCAAGAGCAAAGGTGATGTTTCATGGATTGTTTTGTTGACACAACACGCACATACTGTTAGCTGTGGTCTCAACTGTAGACAACTAGACCCAGGGAAGTTCTGGCAAAGGCAAAGAGAAGTCGGCAGGGACAAGAGGATCGATCCCTCTGGGTGGCTCCCAGGAGCAAAGGCAGATGTCTCGTGGGATCACCTGCAGAGCACCAGTGAGCGCACTCGTGAGCAAGAGCAGAAGACAAAGTTCCTGTGAATAATTAGAGTAAGAAATGTGCTCTGACCTGTGGTCTGGTGCCCCTAGTCCAAATTCACTTGGTGGTTCCAGCACCTCTCCACACCAGCCATGGGAACTCAGCCCCATCCTCCTAACCCCACCAGCTCCAGCCTCAATCTTCACTTCTAGGCTGAGACAATGTTTAGATGACTGTGACGTGTCCATGAATCCAGGATAAACCATTCAACAAGTCACCTCCTTAGCAAAGAAAAATTTAAAATGATGCTATGAGTGTGTTTGATATTCTCTGAGAATAACAGCAATCTCATAGGCTGCTGTCTTAGAGCACTAGCTAATAATGCGTGGAATTCAGGCCTCGCCAGCCCACACAGGAAGGGCTGTCACCTCTGTAGAATGGCTAGACTACATACTTTTCAAGATTCACAGAATATCAGACCTAGAAAAACCTCTGAGATTACCCAAGTCTGAGCCAATAAAAAAGCTTCAGGGTCAGAAGGGTCAAGACCCACCTGCAGCCACGTTGTTATTTATGAGAGCTGGATGGTGTGGGTGAAGGCAGCTCACCACCACAACTGTGGGAGCTTCTGTCTGTGCCTTGTTCTGGGTCCCAAGGCCTCCTGCACCCCATCAAGGCCTCCTGCACCCCATCAGCAGAATGTGGCTAGAATAACCTCTCTCATAGGATATCCTTGTCACTTTTTCCAGCATTGTGCTAACACTGTGATTGTCTAATACTTAAAAGATTCTAAAAAGAATGGGATAATTATCATTCCCAGGACACAGCAAGACAGACGTTACCTGCTCTTCACAGCTACATGGAGGCATTACTTATAGTCTTACCACATTGACTTTAAAACTTAATTTGTGTCTTAATTTGTATTGACAACTAAAGGGACTTACAGTTCCCTTACTAAATATAGTGTCCACTCTTTACCTTTAAACTGGGGCCTTTCATGACATTGGACAACTTAGAACTTTATGAAAAGAAACTTCTGTTTCAGACAAATGCTAGCTTTCTCATTTCTCTCTCCCCTTCTGGAGGGCAGAGAAAGGGATGTGTGAAAGAGGACTCACGTCTCGTGTCTTATGAACTGCTTTTCCAGTGTACCTGTTTCTTTTTGGAAGGAATTCCCACTGCACCCCTCAGGAGCTCTCAGTCCTGGAGGAGATACTTTTACAGTTTCCTAGCCAGATTCAACCAGTGGCTAATGGAAGTGATGAAACCATAGGTACAATTTGACTTGGAAACTCCTTAACTCCATCTGACTTCGAGTTTCCTTTTCTAGCTTTTTTGGCTTTTACTTTACAACTTCATTTTTCTCCCTTGAGGCTCAGGGTTTGGCTGCTGGGTTGAAATGGATTGATGAGATAAACGGTAGCTATTTGAAGATTAAAATTAAAGTAAGCAAATCACTTATCTCTATGAGATGTTGACTGTGCACAAAGTACCATGCTGATTGTTATGGAGGTTACAGGCCAGTACCTGATGTGGTCCCTCCTCTCAAAGACCTCTTAGTCCAGACGGGAGTTAATACATATGCTATAGAAAGAGGTCTCTAATATTCTGAGTATATTATGCCTGTGTTTCCCAAAGTAGGTGCAATTACCACTCATTGGTGGCCAAGGAGGTGATTTTAGGTGGTGCACAGGTGGGGCACCCATCTTGTTAGCAAGGGCTCCAAGCTCATGACCAACTCACCTTCCAAAGGCCCTCCCTCTTAGGACCATCACACTCAAGTTAGGATTTCCACATACACATTATGGGGAGACACAAACATTCAGTTCATAACACCAACTAGATTTATTTCAGTAAAAAAGTTGATTTAATTCCAAATGATAAATAATGGTATGGAATATACAAAAATATGGCATGTACAAATGTTTGTGAAATGCTTTGCAAGTATCAGATGGGTACTTCAGATTCAAATTGCAGGTGGAATTTCCAGGAACAACTGTGCACCAGGGACTGAGTGGTCAGGAAGTATTCCCAGGGGTGGGGAACTGTGAGGGGGCATTGGAGCATTTGTGGGGAGAATTCACCTGAGAAGAGATATGATGGTGGGTGAGGGGGAGCGTTGAAGCCCACAGACTGAATGAACAGTGGATGCCTGGGAGCTGCGGCTGGAGGCAAGTTACAGCTGGAATTGCATGATAGGAAGAACTTTTTGCAAGGAGTCCCCTTTCTTTGCATGTTTTAAAAAGACGTTTTACTTTGGGATAATTGATTCACATGCACAAATAGTAAAGATGTTTCATACTGCCTTCATCCAGTATTTCTGAGCACTAATAGCTTACATAACTATAGTTCAATAACGCAGCCAGGAAATTGGTGATGATAGAAGCCACCAACCTTATTCCAGTTTCACCAGTGTTACTAATACACATATTCAGTTGTGTGTACATTTAGTTCCATGCAATTTTATCACATGTGTGCATTGGTGTGACCATCATCATAATCAAGTCACAGTTCTTGGAATAAGAATCCCTTGTCTTCCCTTTCATCTTCCCTCACCCATGGCAACCATCAATCTGTTACCCATCTCTATAATTTTGTCATGTCAAGAATGTTATGTAAATGGGATGATACAGAAGGAAACCTTTCGGTGTTGGCTTTCCCCTTACCACACACACACTCGACATAAGTCTCTTGAGATTTATACAACTTGTCGTGTTATCAAGAGCTCATTCCTTTTCATGACTGAGTAGTATTCCATGGCACAGCTGTACCGCAGTTGAACCATTCACCCATTTTGGAAAATCTGGCTTGTTTCCAGTTTTTAGCTATTATAAACAAAGATACAATGAATATTTGTGTGTAGATTTTTGTGTGAACATAAGTTTTCAATACCCAAGAGTGTGATTGCTGTGTCGTGTGGTAAGTTTTGTTTATTTTTATAAGAAATGGCCACGCTTTCTTCTGGTGTAGCTGTACCATTTCACATCCCCACCAGCAATTTATAAGGGATTCAGTTTCTCTGAATCTTTGCCAGCCAGCATTTTGTGTTATCACTATTTCATTTTAGCTATTCAGGTAGGGATGTAGTGATATCTCATTGTGGATTTCTTTTGCATTTTTATAGTGGCTAATGATACCTTGGTGTGCTTATTTGGTATCTTTGTATCCTCTGCAGTGAAACGTCTGTTTATATCTTTCACCTGTTTGCTCATTGAGTTTTGAGAGTGCTTTATATGTTCTAGGAATAAGTCTTTTGTCAGATATATAGCTTGCAAATATCTTTTCCCAGTCTGTAATTTATTTTTTCATCTTCTCAGGTTCTTTCCTAGAGCAGTAGTTGTTAGCATTGATGAGATTTGATTGATTAATTTTCCCTTCTATGGCTTATGCTTTTGCTGTCAAGTCTAATAATTCCTCACTTAGCTCTAGGACCTGAAGATTTTCTCCTGTTTTTACCTAGAAATTTTGTGGTTGTACACTTTACACTGAAGTCCATGATGTATGTTTTGGGTTAACTGTTTTATAAATATTAAGGTTTAAGTCAAGGGTTCACTTATTTTTGTTTGTTTTGTTTTGTTTCTGGATGTTGGACTGTGCCTGCACTATTTGTTGGAAAAACAATCCTTCCTCCATGGAATTGCTCTTATACCTTTGTCAAAAATAGTGGGCCGCATTTTGTGGGCCTTTTGCTCTTTCTAATGACCCTATTGATATTTCTTATCAAGAAAGAATCAATGGCATGGATCATGCCATTTTTATAAAAATTTAATTATGAAATATTTGATAATTTAGGAAGGCCTCATTACATACTTATGAGTCATCCCTAAGGCCTAAAGGCCTTATGAAAACAGAAGATTTGGCTCATCTCCCACCGAAATAGTTCCTTTTACCTAAATAGAAAGACGTGGGAAAAACAGTTCACATTTTTTCCCCAGGGCCAATACATAGCTGCTTACGTTTGAGTTGGGGAATTTTAAAGGGATGAGAAAAGTCCTTGGCCGCTGATAGGCCCCACTACACACAGCTCTGGGCAGGGACATGCAACCAACAGCTTTGCTGGAGACGTAGGAACCTGCTCTCCTACAGAAATGATGAGAGAGATCCACAAAAAACAAGCCAATCCTTTTGAGGGACACACTCAAGCCAGATAACCCAAGGTCATCACAGACAGGTTTAAAGCTAAGTGCTGTGCAATTAGCTTGCCTCCTTGGGTTTTTGAAACATGCATCTGTATAAACCTGCCTGTGCAGACATCCCTAGCCCCAAGCTGGGTCTGCCGAAGTCCGGAGAATCGGCTCTAAAATGCAGACGGCACCTCGCCGGGCCCAAGACTCAGCCTACGGCAGCCTGCGGGCCTCTTAGGCCCAGTGGAGCAGCGGAGCAGAAATATTTGGAAACGTTTTTGCGTGTCCATGGAATTTCATTGCAGGAAACCACCAAGGCAGAGACGGGCATGGCATACAGGTACTGCTGATTGCAATGTCATCAACGAGGGCACTGAAGTTCAAGATAGTTAGTAAAGAAATAAGGATTGAAATAGTAAGACAAAGCACTGTAAGAAAAAAATAAATGTGGTGAGTCCTCTTCTTAGGTTGCCTTACTCTTTTTGAGCTTTAAATTATCCTTCTCGTTGCTCAAAGGGTTCTATGAAAGATAGCAAGCTCACGTGCAGAGGGTGTAATCACGCGCTGCCAGTAGAAATACCTTTGGCTCTGAGTAGGTAGGTGACTGAGCAGGTCAAAATGAAGAAAGGGACGTTCTTCTTCTCAAGGGAATTTGTAAGTTAAGAGTAGAATTGTTTTAATGGTTCCTGGGTTTTAAGACCATTATTTTCTTCTAAGCCTGAATCAAATGGTCTGTGCTAATGGCTAATAAAGTAGTTCAAGGTCTTCTTGAAATGACAGCACTTTTTAATCAATGTAGCTCAAGATAAATCACTGGTTGTAAGCTAAACTTCCAATACCATTATTTATTCTGTGAAAGATTAACGAAGAGAGAATTTTTTTTCCTGGGGTAGTGTTGGATGTGACATGTTTATAAATTGCTCTGAAGTGGCAAGTATCATTCTTTATCAGAACATTTACTGTTCAAACATTCTACAAGATATGCCCATGCTCAGGTAAGTGGCCCAGCACCACAGGCACTAGTGTTACCTTGACGAATGCCTGGAATTCTAAAAACATCCCAGAATCTGGGTAAAAGCTGTTCAGAAGGACAAGGGTACTGAAAAATGGAAAAAGAATCTAGCATTTGCAAAAGGATAGTTGTCCTAGCTCAAGTCAAAGTGTCTGCTTCACAGGGTAAGATTGTTTCTCATGTACAAGATGTCCCTGGTGACCTCATTTCCCATAATGTAAAGGTCTATTTCAGTGTAGTAGCGCCTGTTCTTATTTGTCAGCTAATTTTATTAATACAGCAATTTGCAGTGACATGGCTCCACTCTGGAGAGCAAAGTATTTTATACAGACTCTTTATGTTAGAAAGGGCTGCTACAGAAGAAGAGTGAACTCTTGAAGATTTATAGACAGCATGTGATAGCCTACCCCGTGGTGATTTAGAAGTAAAGCCCCCAAAGAATCTAATTACCTTTCCAAGACAAGTCTTGGGCTGCACCCATTGGACTGGTGGAGACACCATGATCCTTCACCCACTTCTGTGCTTATATCTATCACAAGAACGAGCCTGTTTCTTGGCTCTCCCTCCCTTCTCCATGCTTTCCTTGACCCTCAGTGGTGGAAGTGATGTTGCTGTGTGAATACGGAGCAGGCAAAGCGGAAGATAAATTGTTTCACTTAAAAAAAAAATCTGCCTCCATGTCTTCGTCACATGGTGTGACCATGAACTTTTGCATAAACCTTCAGAGGCCATACCTCTGTCTCTCAAAAGTCCTGGTTTGAATATCAGCTCCAGGACTGGGCTGTGAGCTAATGTTCAGATGGAGATGTGTTCTAGGGCAGTGTTTTTCCAAGGATGATGGAACAAGGGAACGCTTTCTTCAACCAGACGAGAGCAAAGGTGCCTCAGGTGAAGGTGGGGGTCTGGAGCCCACCTGCTCAGGGAGGGGAGCATTCATCCCCGGTCTGTTCCTGAGGCACATCAGTGGATCCCATACTCCCCATGGTTTGAGAGTATAGATCTGGGGACTCTTCGTAATGTCTTGGTGAGAAAGGCTGTAGTACCTTCGCTCTTCGACCTTGGGGATGCCAGGTCCTGCTCACGGAGGCAGGCTTTTGGTCAAGTGTGCATGCTGCTAGGTCACATTCTGTGAGAAATGGGACTGAGGGGAGTGTTCCTAAATCAGTCTGAGTAGAGAAATGCACAGTTAAATTAACCATTAACCTCAAGAAAACCCAAGGCTCTATATTGTGCTGAACTTGCTGTGCTCAACGCATCCCTCTGAAACATTCCTCCTTCACCCCCTCCCCAAACTCCCATAGTCCTTTCTTTATTCTTCTTCAAGACACTTACTACTTACCCTTATTTAAGACATTTTCCTTCGAGCATTTGGGAGGGATTTTTAGGGAAAAGACCCAGGGTTCTCTTGGTTCCCTGTCAATTTGCTTTTGAAATTGATTGATTTCTTTTTTTTTTAATGAAGTCATAACTGTGTAAATTAATGCATTTGTAGGGTACACTGTGCTGATTTTATATACAATTTGGAATGCTTCATCAAACTGGTTAACATAACCTTCACCTCACTTATTTGTTGTGTTAAGACATTTATACTCTACTCTTAATAGTTTGGCATGTATCCTTGCCTTGTGCACAGTAGGTGAGGTCCCACCAAATACCCTCCCCTCCCCTCTCCCTGTTTTTCCCTCCTTTCTGGACTTCAGTTGTGTTTTGAAAGCGTAGATGATTATATATTGGTTTCATAATAGTATTGAGTACATTGGATACTTTTTCTTCCATTCTTGCGATACTTTACTAAGAAGGATATGTCCCAACTCATCCAGGTAAGCATAAAAGAGGTAAAGTCTCCATCTTTTCTATGGCTGCATAGTATTCCATGGTGTGCATATACCACAATTTGTTAATCCATTCATGGGTCCATGGGCACTTGGGCTGCTTCCATGACTTGGAAATTATGAATTGGGCTGCAATATTCTGGTGCAAATATCTTTTTTTGTAAAATGACTTTTGTTCTTTCTTATAACCATAGTTGGGGTTAGGAGAGAAGGTGACTTTCATATTCCTTATTCTGATTTTTTTTTCCCCAGGCAAAGGTGGGTTGCAAGGAGACCGTAGCTCTGTTAAACGACATCTGTTCAACTTCATCTTTTCCATTTTCTTCTTTTTGTGTAGAAAGAAGTGGAAAGAGAAGGGACTTTGGCGTTAGGCAGACCAGAGTTAGAATTCCATCCCTGCTGGTTTTTGAATGGTGTGGCATTGAGCCAGCTGTGATGTATAAATGCCTAGCACATAGTAGGCAGTCACCTGACGTAAGTTCTCTTCCCACTTGCTCTGAGCGTCTGTCTACCCGTCTAAGTGTCAGGGAGCGGTAGTGTTAAAAACCTTTAGCTGACGCATATAAATAGTTAAGAGAATATTCTCAGAAGGAAAAGAAGGAATAAAGCAATCTGCAATAATTTACAATCTGTGTAGGTTTCCGTGCTGAGCTGTAGAATTCTGAGAGGTCTGGAAGAGCCGGGTAAGCTGTTTTCTCTTCCTAATTTGGTCAGATGCCATTGCAGACTTTAGCCCAATACCAGCTGCTTGGGCCCCTTGATCATCTGTGAGAGAGCACTATGTTGTGTTTCCATGGAGACCTGGTTTTATTTGTAACTAAGGTTGACCAGGAGAGGAAGAAAAAAACCCAGTAAATATGCAAACACATGTATCAATTGCAAAGAGACTGAAGGAAATTGAACATGGTGTAAAAAGTGCCGAGTTGCTGTGCAGATCCTTCTGTTGGCATAAAAATTTCAGCAAAAATAGAAGTTTTAAAATCTATTTTATTAGTGACAAAAATATAGTCATCCAAGAGGGTTTTAAAGTTACATGTATGAGGTAGAATGTTAATTGTCTCTATTGCATAGCCTTGAACTCTGAGCCAGACAGTAAACATGAAGCTGAACTGAGATTACAGAGGTCGTTTTATGAAGAAAGCACAAAAATACCTACACTGAGTTAGGATGCGCCAAACACCGAGCTTTGAGGCAATTTTGTAACATTTGCAGGAGGAGCTCAAATAGACGTAAAATGAAGTTCTTATCCAGGGGCAACACTTCCCCTGTAAAAGGCCAGATGGGGCAACACTTCCCCTGTAAAAGGCCAGATGGGAAGGATGCCCGTTCCAGATCCCCATTGGCCTTCTCACAATGACTGAACTCTGCCGTTGCCTGGTGAAAGTAGCCATTGATGATGTGCAAATGAGTGGGCATGGCTGTGTTCCAATAAAACTTTATTTATAGATCCTAAAATTTGAATTTTATGTAATTTTTATGTATCACAAACTGTCTTCTTTTTTTTTTCCTCCCAAACCATTAAAATATGTAAAAATAATTCTTAGCTTGTAGGCCATACAAAAACAGGTGGCAAAACAAACAAAAAAACAAAAACAGGCGGCAGGCTGGATGTGGCCATCAGGTTAATAGTTTGCAGACCCTGAGGCTAGAAAATGAAGCTTTCAGTTGCACAGGTTATGCATTTGTTTGTGTTTATTTATTTTTAAACTAGCTTGTTTCCAGAAGCATTTAAAGATCCCAAATGCATATAATTCAGAAATATAGAAAGAGAATAAAAAGAAGAAGAGAAACATTGAGGCCAAGAAAGACTTAAAGTGCAGGAAGGGATGCCAGCCAGGGCGAGGGAGCAGATTGCGTGCAAACCGGTCGAGCTACTGGAGGCGGACAGGTCTGCTCCGTGCTTCCCAGCAGCGCCACGGTGTGAGGACAGAAATGGACCCTTTGCTATGTCACAGGGTCCTTGAGGTAAAGACTGGGTAGTTGCTCAGTAATGGTTCTCCTCTTCCTGATCTGGAGATCAGAGAGGTTTCTTTTGGTTCCTCTTCTTTGTGTGATGAATGACACCCTCATAAGATCCTTGCAGAAAACACAGTGGTGAGGTTCAGGGTGCTGTCCCATGGAGCCCCTAATGTTACTAGGTAGCATCCTATCACACAGTGTCAGCAAAGGCAGTGGGTGGGTAGTAGGAGAAGTGATATTGCTTCACTAGAAACCACAGCCCCCTCTCGCTGCTCTGCTCTGGGACCTGCTTCAGTCCCGCTGCTCTGCACACTGACCAGAGTCACTACTTTCCCTGCTAGAACATTCTTGCACATCCGCCTCGCCCAGGCAGGTCTGGCCTGCAGGTGCGGTTTCTCTCTCTCAGCATGGACCAGTCTTTGCTTATAGATTTTCCTACTGGAGCAAATTCTTTAGGATCTACTAAAAAACAGTTTTTCCCCCCTTTCCTTTCACCTCACACATGAGCTTCTATTTAATCAAAAAGTCCCCAGGAAG